ATTAAGGAAGACTAAGTGCGTATTGTGCTTAATAGGCCGGAAATGGGGTAGTTAACCCTACCATGATTAAAAAAAACGACTAAAAGGAGGAACTTTTTACGCAAACGATGATTTCCGTCTAAAACTTAGGGATCGTCCATTAATTATGTCACACTTTGAGGGGGGGGGGGTTCGGAAACTGTGACGAACCATACAAAAAAAAATTAAGGTCCATACAAAAAATGGGCCAAATTTGCGTGACATAATTTATGGACCTTCCCTTAAGACAAAAGTACTAGGACTTTTGACTTGCTAAATTACCATATTGGACTACTGTGCAATGTTTTGAGAAAAATTTCAAAGTAATTTTGAACGGCATGGAAGGGAAAAATAAACTATGATGAGGATTCCAAAGGAAATCGGATGAGTATTCCAAGTGAAACCTGATAAAAATTCAAAGAGAATCTGAGATAGATTTCAGAGCATTATTTCAAGGGAATTACGAGAAAGATTCCAAGAGAATGGTAAGGAGATTATCAACGATACATAGCAAGGGAATTTTAAGTAGGATTTCTAGGAAGTTTTAGAATCCTTAGAGAATACTGATGACTATTCTTAAGAAATTTTTAGATGAATTTCAATAAATGCACGGGAATTTCGGAAGAATACTAAAGGAATCCTAAGGATAATTCCAAATCATTTCTGAGCAGTATTCCATTCCATTCCATGGTTGTCTATCCAAATTTAAATAAGTCAAAATTAAGGGAGTTTTTGCGAGAATGATTTAGAATTCAAAGAGAATTGTAGAGTGAATTCCAAGGGTTTCGTGGAGAGAATTCTGGACTAAATTGGCAAAGAATTTAGGCATACTTGGGGGGAATGTTAGAAAATATAACATGTTACTTTAAGTTTGTAAATGTTGACCAAATTGTTGGCGGTATATTGGATTCAGTCCAAAAGTATTCCCTTATGCGATTACGGATATATTATGTTGCTTCATCAGCAATCTAAAAATCTCATGCTAGCGAATTAATCCACGAAAAGTCGTTTGCCATTTATTGTTTTTAAGTCCATCTACTTTCATCGAGCTCCATCCTAGATGACTAGAGCTCGAAGTCAATTGTGTGATATCAGTGTTTTTTTTTAAGTAGCCCTGTGAACAATTTATTGGGTACAACTTGGACCAGGAACTACTTGGAAAGCATTTCCAGATAATTTTAAGGAGAACTGCTTGTGAATTTTCAGTAGAACTTAGATAAAAAAATTATGAGAACTCAGAGGTGAACAGCATGGGAGTTTCTAAGAAGGTGAATTCTCTAAAAAAGTTTATAATTCAAAGAGAATCTAAGGACGAATTTCATGATTTTTTAGTGGTCTGCAGATAATTTCTACACTGTTATAAAGAAAATTCAAGGCACTTCTAGAGATAAACTCCAATTTATTTTAGAAGAACTCTATGAAAAGAAATTCTTATGAAAGAAATAGGGGAAATGGATGTAATGTCAGCCTTGGTCGTTATTGAAAATTTAGTCGATTGCTGAATTTATGTATGGGCCCAAATGAGGGGCATTTAGGCCGACATTACATCCATTTTCCCTATAAAGTTAATCTTCTGATTGATTTAAGTTAAATTTGAATCCACATAACAAAAATCTACCTGATGAGTTTAAATTTTTATTCTTGTTAATGTCCACAAAATTTAACCCTTGGATTATTTTCGTCAATGTCCAAGAACATTTTTCTTTAAAAATTCCATGAGTTTTCCAGATTTTTCCGAATGTTCCTACCATACATTCAGAAAAATCTGGAAAACTCATGCAATTTTATTAAGAAAAATGAGTAGACAATAAGCTATAATAATTATCAACAATATAAAAAAATCGTCGGGAATCTGAAATTCTTTTCCATCGTTTTTTTTTTAATTTTCCACTATATAGTACTGCATTTTGTACGTTTAAGCTCTATGACCCTTTCCTTCCCACGGTAGTACAGGGGATCTATAGGGTTTTGGTCCGTCTTACGATTATCATTACAGCTTAAATTAGTCAGCATTGATTTGTGTTTCTCTTCTTGTGCTCAATGTTCCCCTTTATATATTTATCTCACAAGTTTCTAGAAGGCATATCAAATAAAAAATTCACTCCGGAACTTCTAAATTGAGCTTGATAACTTCAAAAGTGTCTTAATCCAATGAATTATAAATTTCCCGCAACATTTTCCTAATATCTTGTTGTTAGCGGTATCGCAAATTAATCGAAGACCATACCCCAATCTATTATTTTGAAATGTAATTTACAACAAGTTTCAAGATTAAAAAAATAAATAATCAGAAATTTATTAAAACTAAATCCAAAATATATCAAATTTCCATAAAGTGCAAGCTTGAAAATAATCGAAGAATATTAACAAATCTCCAAAGACAAAACTAAGAGATCTTAAAACATTCCGGTACTTGTTTTCCTTTCTTTAGTCTGACACCTCTCAAGTTAAAATGTATTGAAAAGTTTTTTATTTCCAAAATTTTAAGATTGTTTGTCAGTTTGTCAAATTTCAAATGATCCAAAAGCTCGTCAAGGATCTTGTGAATTGAAGTTCAAGGATTTTATAAATTCCAGGCATTATTCATAAACAATTCCGATCACTCGATAGTTTACTCATCATGGCTTATTCTATTTTTTACCAGTTTAAAACAGTTTATAAGCTTAAAGGTTGAACACGAAAAAAAAATGCGGACGCATAAAAAAACGTTGCCATAAAGGCATTTTTTGAGATTTTTTTTTTCAAAATTTCTTAATCAAGCTAATAGTGTTTAGAATCACAGTAGGCATTGGTTGTCAGTAAAAGTTAATTTGTTTACATCATGGCTTCCACCGGAACAAGCACGTCGCGATTCGATCGTGCGCGCTCAAAACGAAAATCCCGGTCTATCCGCTCCTGGCAATTTTCTATCAAATTCCTGGGCAGGAATTTCATACCTCGGTTAACCGGAAGAGTAACCCGGAAAAATGTGAAATCAAAATGAAATTGAAATTCTCCAAAAAGTTCCTTGTCTGGCAAGCAATCTGCAGTTGTGGGATTAAAAGCGAAACTGGGACCCTGAACCAGCAGATTTTCCAGGAGGAGTGCCGACGGAAAAAAATATTGCCTTTTCTGGAGCAGCATGAGGTGGATTGTCTATTTTGGCCGGACTTGGCAAGCTGCCACTACTCAAATTCCACCAAACAGTAGTACAGCGAAAATGGCGTCACAGTGGTTCCCAAGTAGATGAATCCGGCCAATACTCTCCGGAACTAAAGGCCAATTGAGGAATACTGGTCAATTGTGAAGCACATACTGAAGAAAAAGGGTGGAACTGCAATTGGTCTGAAAGATTTCAAGCGGAAATGGAATTTGGCCAGCCAAACAAGTGGGAACAGGGCTCGTGCAAAAGATGATTGGCCTTGTACAAAGAAAAGTTTGAGAAATGGCCTATGGTAAGGAGGAAGACTGAAACAATGGTCTTACAATAAGCATAATACTTACAAATGTATAGCTGCTACATTGAACTATGAAAAATAAGACGCATTTCTTATTGCGATTTTTCGTGTCCGGCTTTTTTTGTGTTCAACCTTTATAATGTCACTTTCCCAAGTCGACCTAATGGGCCGTATGAACCAAAAAGAGTTAACTTTACTTTCCCGTGCTTTTCTTACGGGAAAAGTAAAGTAAACGCTTTTATTCATACGACCTAACCCAAGTAACAATTTTGGTTTTATAAGGGTTCTGTAGACCATGATTTAGACTTGTAGAATGCTTTAAAATCTCGATAAAACAATGTTGCTTGGAAATGACTCATTCAGGCTTGTTCGGTCAAGAAGATGTTCGGCCCAGTAGAATGAATAGCAACTCCTGGTGTAGAAGAATTATGCTTTTTTTTCAGTAATTCAAAGATTAGATCATTTAACATTTTAAAACGCTATCTCGACGTTTCATTCCTTATTTCGGAAATATTTCTAATAATTAGGTAATGTCTTATTATTAGGTAACTAAGCAAACGCGGAGCACCTTCGTGATGCAATTTCGCCGATCGCATCATAGTTCATATTTAAAAAGCGTGACGGGTTAGAGAATAGTTTTATTCTAGACTTTAATTCAGGAGACCATAAGAATTTCAAATATGGTAAAATATCTCTGTAATTGAAAGTCGTGTTACACAGTGTTGTTAGTTTTTAATCTAGTTGTGCAAGATCTTGCAATATAAACTTTTGACGAATGCGTACAGATAAGAAATCGATGCCTACCTTTTTTGAATTACTGTCAAATCAATTACCATGATTTTATTTCTGAAAGTTTTCTGATAATGTTCAAGTCACATTTTGGTAACTTTTTAAAATGATTTAAAATCACTTTTTAGTCACTTTTTGAATGATTTTAGTCTCTAATTCACTATTTTTATTGCTTAACACTGCTATAAGCCTTACAATTAAGCGTGAGTCGGCCGAATTTCAGCACACAATTGGTTCATGGAATTTTGAAGAGGTAAAATCTATAACTAGTTTATTTTTTTTCGCTATTTCGCTATTCTGCTTCAAATAACAAGTTTCATGGAATCGTTCAAAAATTGGAATCGTCAAACTTTCATGGAATAATTCCTCAGAATTTGATTATAATTATGCCAATAATTCCTTGTAATTTCAAAATTCATTTAGATATTTTATGGAAAATCTTCAATATTTTTTCTAGAATCTGGAATCTTGAAATTTTTTCAAGGAGAAACGTCTTGAATTTATCTAGTTAAAAAATTATTTTTTTTTCTATGTTTGACATCACGAACAACAATTTAAGTTATATAATTTGAAAAAAAAATGTCCTTAAATTGAAAGCCCGTCAATTTTTTCTAGCTTAAAATTTCTAAAACATTTTCCAAGTGCAATCTCTAGTTTTCCACTGCCTATCTAATAACACATTCTTGTACAATAGATCAATTATTGTTCACAGTGTATTTATGACCCAAACCGAGTAGTATAATAAAGTATGCTTACCAGCTCACGCTTGCAGTCCCAAAAGTTCTGTTTGGTTTTCCATGCAGCACAATGATCTAACTAGCATGTGGCTCGGACCAAATATGTACACCCCCTACTCGACCAGTAAAACTTGTTTCTCAAAACTGCACTTTATTCACTTTCATTATACTGCCTCACTCACCACACACTAGACGTACTGCCAGGGCAACATGCTGATCTTTGATCTTAAACTAGCCAGATTTGTTCAACACTCCACTGCACTGACGCATGCATCTGAAATTTTTGTTTTCGCAAGATCTTCGGCAGTCCTTGCTGCTTTGCATCAACAGACACTCATTTGGTCACACAGGTAGATTCTTCCTCAAAACGAAACACAACAAATCCAACAGCGCATCACCGAGTGGAGCGGATAACACTAAAGAGATGTCATAAACATTTACAATACCATTCACTGAATCCAACTGCTCATTGGCTGTCCAACAGAACAACTTCCCAAAATTTCGCAATCACCCACTTAAAACAACAACGGCACCATAACAAACGATCAGGAACCACGTACGCTCGGAAAGATTGTTCTTGATCGAACCGCTGCCAGTCGGATACTGGTCAGTCACTTGGCAGCAGCTCCGACTATGGATGGAGTTCTGACTCTGAGCGAGAGCATGCGGGCTTCCGAGTTCTTCTCGCCGCGCCGCATTGATGATGGTGATCGTGGTAGTATTGGTTGCTTCTATACACAATATACATCAACCAGCATCGAAAACCGCTCCTGCCAACCCACAGTCTGACTTTTAACTCTATTAATATTGAATAATAAATAAAAAGAATACAAACCACCATCCAGCAATACCGCACTTTTCGGAACGAGCAAAGGCTCCGTCGCGATGTGCGGCTGTAAACAAACTAAACGAACGAACGAACCAAACGAACAGTTCGAACCGAGAATCAGCCATACTAATAAGCCTGAGCACACAACACCGACCGACGCCGATCGCTGGTGCAGAAGGTTTCGTTCGATCTACTGGCTCACTGAGCCAATCATCATGCTCACAGTGCGCGCTGGACTGTCTCTATCAATCCGCATTACCACTTGTTCCGTTCGGTTAAAGTAAGCATGTGCGAAGAACCGCGAACTGTATTATGTGTTGCTGCTTCTAGATGCACGTGTATCAGCGCATCGAGACTCAATTGCTCATGCTCACGAGAACGTATAATTAGGGTAGCATCGGCAAATACGGCTTAAAGCTTATTCGATTGATTTATCTAAAGTCACAAACAAAAACGAGAACTATGGACAAACAATATTTTTTGGAATGTCCTCCAAGGCCATCCAAACTATTCCTGGAGAGCTAATTCTTGACTATAGACCGTTTCAGAAAATATGGGCACACTTTCAACACGTGACCTTCAGACACTTATTTGTCATATGTTAGTTTTTTTCTACCGAGCTCGGCTGTGCAAATCTCGGCAAAAATAAGTTAAATTTTTTGCCGAGATGTGCATGGCCGAGCTCGGTAGAAGAAAAATAAGTGTGTAGGTCTAAATTATTTTTTATTGGTGATTTTAATGCAAACCACCGTTCGTGAAATAATCCTCAAAGCAATTCCAATAGGCCTTTTTAATAGAAACTAAGTGATCGCTTCAACCTCTGGTGATGAATAGGAGAACGTCAAAAAGAGTGTTGTGAGTAGAAATTTCCACCATGAGACATAGCAAGCGGAGCAATTTTTCACTTTTCCTGATAAATTGATTAATTAGAGCTGCTCCTAAACTTGATCTACAGTTGAAAAATTCATTTTTTTATCGGTTTTGTAAGGATCCTGCTGGTGTTCAAGAATATTTGTTCTGAGAAAAATGGAAAATTAGAATAGTGCCTTAGTGGTAATGATCTTCCGGATTTCTTGTGTGTACATAGTTTGAGTGCAAATTAGTTCAGATCAGTGAAAAATCATACGATAGAACAATTAACGATGAAAATTGGCAAGATGTTGAATGAAAAATGCTTGAATTTGTGTTGTGAAAAAAATTTATTCTAATGTAAACAAATGGTTTGGTTGACGTTTCCTCTCGAACTCGCCGGGCGCAATCTACGTTGGTGGTGCCTTAAAAAGACCTATGGTAATATTCTGTTTTATGATTGTTCTGCAGGTTATTGCATTATTCAATATCCAAACAGCTCAACATGCTTTTCTTCAGCAAAAAATCCCTCAACTATTGATTTGGTTTTAACTGATTCATGTCAATTTTGTAGCCAATTGGAACCGAAGTCAGGATCACCTTACCGTAACTTTTGAAATATCCCAAGAAATAATTTGTATTATTTATGGAATAAAGCTTTGATCCAAACATTCCTTTGCAAACCAAAGATGATGTTAATTATGATCTTGAATATCTGACTACTTCTATAGTTGATGCAAGAGCTGCCTCAGTACCAAAATGCGAGGTTAAATTCGATTCAATTATAATAGACGATGATCTTCAGCTCTTGATCCGTCTGGAAAATGTCCGTATGAGGCAATATCAAAGAACACCCGATCCTGCCATGAAAGTGATCTGGCGGGATTTCCAAAAAAATAAATAAAAAGCGGTTCTCTGCCATGAGGTACAAACCTTTAGAAAATAATTTTTAGAAATTAAACCCGAGTTCCAAACCTTTTTGAAAGCTCTCAAAATTTTGAAAATACATCAAAGCCTATTCCAGTGCTTAAAAAAGGTGGTCAAATTTTGATCACAAATTTGGAAAAACTAGTCTTGAGAATTGGATTGCTTGGGAATATCTGAATATTTTTTCTCGGGAAATATTATTGATGATTCTTGGACGAAGTAAGATCTATAAATAAAAAATTTCGTAATATGAAAGCTCCAGGTGATGATGGAATATTTTCTATCTTCATCAAAAAACTCCCAGAGAGTACATTTTCTTTCTATTTACAACTATTTAACAGATGTTTCCATTTGGCATACTTTCCTGATAAATGGAAAAATGCAAAAGTTGTTCCAATTTTGAAGCCGGCTAAAAATCCAGTCGAGGCTTCTAGCTACCGTCCAATAAGTTTGCTTTCTTCAATAAGTAAACTTTTTGAAAAGATAATTTTATATAGAATGATGCTTCACATCAATACGAACTCAATTTTTGCAGATGAGCTGTTTGGATTTCGCCATGGGCTTTCAACTACTCATCAAGTCTTAAGAGTTACCAATTTATTGCGTGCAAACACATCTGAAGGCTGCTCAACTGGAGTTGCTCTTCTATACATAGAAAAAGCATTCGACAGTGTTTGGCATGAAGGTTTGATTGCTAAAGTGAAAAAGTTTAATTATCCACTCTATATTATGAAATTAGTTCAAAATGATTTAACTGGCAGAACTCTGCTGAAATTAGTTCAAAATGATTTAACTGGCAGAACTCTGCTGGTAAATTATCAAAATTCCAAATCTGAATAATTACCTGTTAGAGCAGGAGCTCCTCAGGGTAGCATTCTTGGGCGTATATTGTATAATATTTTCACTTCGGACCTCCCTGATTTGCCTGAGGGTTGCCATAAATCGTTGTTCGCTGATGGATCAGGCATTTCCGCTAAAGGAAGAAGTCTTCGTGTTATTTGCAGCAGACTGCAGAAAAGTTTAGATATTTTCTCTTCTTATTTATATTGAAGATTTCTCCCAACACTTCCAAAACTCAACTTATAATATTTAGCCTAGAGCTTTTTTTTAAACCTAATAGTAGTCACATAGTCACTATGAACGGAGTTCCAATTTCTTGGTCAAGTCAAGTGAAATATCTTGGATTAGTACTAGACAAAAAATTAACTTTCAAAGATCACATTGAGGGCATTCAAGCCAAATTTAATAAATAATCAAGATGTTTGTATACTCTTATAATCAGGAAATACAAACTTTGCCTGACGAATAAACTTCTAGTTTTTAGGCGGGCCATGCTTTATAGTCTAGTTGTTTACCAAGCACTTCAAAAGATTTAAAAAAATAATGTTCTGAAGATGATTTTGAAGTTGCCTCCCTGGTACAGTACAACCGAGGTACATAGAAATGTCCAACAAAATAATTATTAATTTCAATCCTTTAAATATATCGAACCTCTTAACGGAATCCCTTTATGAAGAGCTTTGGGTGGTTTATTTCCTTTAAATTCCGTTATAATTGCTTATCTTTTGACAGATACGCGTATTCCGTCTACTACTTGCAGACTTCATCAGTGCCAAGTACTCAACACCACTGAAGAATCCATCTTTTATCTACGAGTTATATACTAATCAATAGGTACTAAAAATCAGCAGGTATCCACTGCCATGTCAAAATTAACCTAACCAGGTACCTAAATTCAGTCTCCAACAGGTAGAGACATGCTACGATGTGTTGTTTTAGGTAGCATGCTAAAGAGTCTCGAGTATCCGTTTCCTAGATCTCATAGATCTAGATCAGATAAGCAATGTTGATGGATTATGTTTAAATATTTCTAAACTTTCAGCTACGTCTAGTTTCCAAGGCGAAGATACAGTCCGCAGGATATTAATGTTATCCTTTGTCAAATTGTGCCCCTTTGTAACGATATGTTCTGCAACCTTGGATTTAAATTCATAATAAAGTCCTTTATCCATCTCTTTGTTAGCCTTTATTACCTCTGCAATGTGTTCCTTAAACCTTGTTTCCAAAGTCCTTTTCGTCTGACCAATGTAGATTTTATTGCAATCTGGACAAGAAATTTTGTAGACTCCGGCTTTCCCTAAGACATTTATTTAATCTTTTGTTGATCCTAACAGTGACTTCAGCTGATTTGTCCTTTTGGTTTGTTTTTTTTTTTCCGTCGAACTTGTTTTCCGTGCTGAGCTCCAATGCTACCGACGTGCCAGGAAGGCAGCTCCTACACCTGGACCCTACCTATCGACCCATCAACTCATGAACCGGGGACCAACGGCTTTACTTCCCATCCGAAGGAAGGCGTGATCAGAGATGTTATGCCTCAGTACATCCCGGCGGCGCCGACTGGGATTGAACCCAGGCCTGCTGGGGTGAGAGGTAATCACGCTTACCACTACACCACCGGCGCCGTTGCAGCTGATTTGTCCTGCTACTGAATACTAAATCTAGGCCAAAACTTCTAAACTTTGAAATCAATGGTTTGGTAATGTTTTTGTCGAAATTCACCGCTACCCGTTTTAAGCCCTCAGTTACTGGTGTAAGAGTTGTCGAAATACGCCTAAAATGATCCCTTGTTCTTTTATCGATTACTGCTTGAATTGTTTTTTTTTTTCTTGATACCCATTAAGTCTAGCGATTTCAAAAATGTGAGCTATTTCCTTTGATTTGCCTGTATCGCTAAGAGGAAAAGTTTGCATCCTGTGAACCATGTGGTGAAAAGCGGCCATTTTGTGTTGATGGGAATGGTTTGAAGTGCTTGGTATTACCAACAATCAATACGAAACTAACGATTTTAAATTGGCTCACTACTTGACTAGCCTATTGGTCCCAAGCAAACGATTAACGTACCCCATTCAAGTCGAAATTCTGCTACTACACAATGTTTGTTTTGATCCGCTATGAAAGTTTGACAGATACAATGAGGGGATAGTGGATTTTCCCGAGGGGGGCGACTCTATCTACGATGCAGGAAATATTGTGTTTTGCTGTGGCTAGCTGCGCGTACGCTCAGTAGATAGAAAGAAGATTTATCACGATTTTGAAGATTTCCTGCAAAAAGATGATGCGCGATGCAAGTAGATGCGAGAAATGAAAGAAGATTTTTCAAAGATTTATTGGCTAGTGTGAGATTTTTTGAGCATCAAGAATTG